TATTTGTTTAATATCTGTTGATATTTTAATATTTGTTCTTTGTGACCTGGAAGAAATTACATTTGTAAATTGTATTTACAAAGTTTCAGAATTTTGGTAAAATGATTCCGTCAAGTTGATGTTTCACAATGATTCCACATTCAGATTGCTAACATATCTGATTGTTTCCATTTCCAAATTGAAAATAATTTCTACTCTACTTACATTTGTGCTTGCTTCACAGTTATGTTCATGGGAGGACCAACTCTCCTTAACATTTTCAGTAATTTTTCAGCTTGTTCAACACAGTCTGAAGTATGAAGTAATATCCAACTACTTAGAGATTTCCCCATAAGTAAGGATAAATTTCTTGATTCTTTTAGCCATTCTGCTTGCTGTGGCTCCATTTCAGGCTAGAAAAGAATTTAAGATGTAAAAAACCTTTATTTTTAAAAAACAACTCTACTCAACCTCTTTTCCATTGTATATGTGTGCTATTTCCAATTGAAATCCCACAAAATCTAATCCTAAGTAATGACTGGATTCAATATTTAAGAGTGTTAGTAAAACAGGAATTCCACCCTAAGTGTTAAGAGGTTTTGAGAATCTGTTAGACTGGGACAACTGCATCACTTTATTTAGCTTCTAAGTAAGCAAAACAAAGCCAGAAGTAATAAAATAAAGATAGCAACTGTATTAGTCAGAACCCTCCAAATAACTCTAAGGTCTTCCACCTTACCCAATTGGACATATTTTGTCTTCCTTCCACATCTGCCTATGAGAACTTGCTGCCAGATTGCCAATAGGGCGCTCTCAGAACCTCTTTTGTCCTAAGTGCTGACCAGTTAATGAGTCTTTCTTTGCTCAAATAAACTGTTGGAACTTACGTCATCTACAGTTTTTCTTTTAACATAGATTCCTGTGTTTAACATTATTTGAGTCTAGTTATTTTACCTTTAAGGATGGATTTGGAAAATTGATTTTCCAAAAACTGAGCAAACATCCATCATACTAACTACATAAGGGTGTATCACAGCTTATTACATGCCAAGTACTTTACGCACTCTTATTCAACGTCTGCCTGCTCTCTCATATAGAAAAAAACACACATGTATAAAAAGAGCACAAGAGGGCCAGTGAGATAGCTCAGCAGACCAAAACTGCTTAGGCAAGTGCAGAGACCGGGGTTCGATCCCCAGAACCACATGCTGTGCTGACTCTGCCTCTCAGGCACATTGAGCCAGCCACCGAGACCAGGCATGGTAGTGCACACCTATAATCCCAGCACTAGGGAGGCTGAAAACAGGAGGATCACTGCAAGTCTGAGCTGCATAGTGAGACCCTGTACCAAATACAAAAAGAAAGAGCGAGCAAGAATCACAGTTATTAACATGACCAAATTCATTCCTTTTCTGCATGACTTTTTTAAAGTAATATAAAACTATTGACCACTGCTCACCATTATTTACAATAAAGTAAACAATATACATTAGGATAACATTTTGACTATTACAAAGTTGTTTTCCTGGCTTCTGCTGAAACAGTAACCCAAATACCGAAAAGATGGAGCCTACATATAATGAACAAGTTGGGGTAAAGAAAAAACATGCAGGTCAATAATTTCTAAATTATAAGTTTGTTCACTCATTTATCCTGGGTCCTAAATTGTGAATACTTCCAGCCACTCAGTAGGTTTCCCTGAGCCAAGTCTTAAGACATATAAGAATCCTGACTTTTGAGTGCAGATTTCAACTTGCTGTGAAGTAATGAGTCTTGAGGAATTTTTATTTCTTTTTTTATTTTTTTGAGGAATTTTTTTCAACAAAATTTTTTTAATTTTTATTTATTTATGTGTGTGTGTGTGTGTGTGTGTGTGTGTGTGTGTGTGTGTCCAGCTCAGCCCACCAGGGGGCGGGGCTGGCTGGCATGTGGTGCTGGGGGATTGAACCGTGGTCCCTGTGCTTTGCTAACAGCTTGTTCTAAGTAGGTGCTTTAGACCACTGAGCCATCTCACCAGTCCTTTTGAGGAATTTTTAATGTTCCCTTGTTAAGTCTTAGTGAACTCAAATCAAGTTTTGACTCTACCTTATTCAGGTGGGGAAGTTGTTGATTGAGATAAGAATTTTTTTCTCTTTTTGAGATAGGGTCTCACTATGCAGTTCAGGATGCTGCATGACTCTTTATTTAACCCAACTATGACAAACACAGCCTTAAATCCATCTTACCAATTGCTCCTGCTGGAAGATTGATACATTTTTCAAAATTCTTCCCGAGACAGGTAAAAAGTTTTTAGAAAACTCCACCTTACAGCGTTTAAGCTCATCTTGTGCTGTGCTATTTCTGAAAATTAAAATATTTCCAGGGGCTGGTGAGATGGCTCAGTGGTCTAAAACACCCACTTAGAACAAGCTTAGCAAAGCACAGGGACCGCGGTTCAATCCCCCAGCACCACATGCCAGCGAGCCCCGCCCCCTGGTGGGCTGAGCTGCACACACACACACACACACACACACACACACACAAATAAAAGCAGATTAAAAAAAAATATTTCCAGTATGATCAAACCAAGTAAGCAAAAGCAGTTAGTCAAGGTCTATTCATCCTGAACCAGAAGTTCACTGTTGTTTGTCCTTCAGATAAAACTCCCTTAAATAATAATATTGTCTTTTCTATCCTATTCACACAAGCATCAAGGCTTTGTTTCATTACCCACCCAAACTCCCTAACATTGCAATGTCAGAAAAACCGGAGTTGCTCCTCCTCCCCCCAAAAGAATTCCATTTTCATTGCAACAGCCAACTTTTAATAGAAGAATTTGAAGGGTCAAAGTTTAGATGTTAAACTTCAGTGCAACATGAAACATGGGCACAAACACAACCATAAAAGAAACACTTACCTGTGTATCTTCTCGATGAATTTTTCTAAATTTTCAGTCCTTCGCTCTGGAGACTGCTGCATAGCCTTAGCCAATGTTGTCCCTTTTTTGTCAGTTTTGTTAAGCAGCTCCTTTGATATCCCTTTTAAAAATTCAAAAACTACAGCTTCATAAGTGAGACTACATTTATATTTGAGAAGATTTAGCTGTAGTATCAGAGGTAGGTCAGGGAACAACCAACCAAAGTAGGAAATACAATTCTGGGTCAGGAAGAGCTCTTTGAAAACCCTGAATATCTCTGTAATTGAATCTCTGGTCTGTGAAGAGGGGCCACTTCTCTAGAGACAGCCTACGTGGGCAGTACCTGTCAGGTAGCAGAGTTGAGGCACTAGCAGGATGGGATCCGGTGCTGCAGGCCTCTGGCCCCTTCTCCACCTGCGATGGCTCACCAAGAGCGGCTGTGTAGAGTCAGTGATCCGTTCTTTATATTTCTGCTCAAAAGAAGCAAGAAAACCTGCCATGACCATCAGCAGAACCATAGCAACATCACATAAATAGGCACAAATACTCAGCTGGGGAATTACAGGGAGGCCCAGACACATGCTGACAAGAGCTTCTCCCTAGGTATAAGAATTTATATATACTTTAATTCTTAGCGTCAATGTCCCAGGGACATTGTCATTGTTTTTCACATACATGGCCACAGGGTCTAAAATGTCCATAAAATAGTACATGGAAGTTATTGTGGTACCTTTTTCTACCTTGTTATATACAGATGGGTAAGAGACACTTAATATTTGGCTTTCACCAGGCTTACCTTTAGAACTCCTAAAGCATACTGAAAATTTCTAAGAAGACTCTTACACCAGTGGGATAAGCAAAACCTGGCCATCCTGTAAATTCTTCTTTTTTTTTTTTTGTAAATTTTCAATCATACATCTATTCCAATGGTTCTTCTATATTATTGTTCCCACTTGCAGCCCGTTTCCAGTAGGAAAAGACATTTGAAGGGGAAAAAAAAAAAAGACAGGTTTTCCATACAAAATGCTTGGTGAAGCCACAGAAACTGTTCCTCCTACAAAGCAGGAGTTGCCAGGGCCAGCCAAATAACTCAGAGGAATAAAGTGCCTGCAAACAGGCTCAGGGGCCAGGGGTTCAATTCACAGGCCTGCCGTGCCAGGCCCCGCCCCCGTGGCACGCTGCCTGTAATCCCAGCTCTTGGGAGGCTGTAAACAGGCAGATCACTACAAGTCCAGTCTAGTAGTGAGACCCTGAACACCCTTTAGACCCTTCCCTAAAATATATATATATATATAAAAGCAGGAGTTGCCACCACCCGTAGCTGAGACAGAGTCTAGAATAGAACCTGGCAGTGATGAATCAGTGTCACAGCTTAAGGAGTAAGACTCACACAAGCCTAGCCGGCAGCAACAGCAGAAGTGGATGAAGAACCAGTAGGTGAAGGAAAACAAAGAAAGGGGGTATGGAAGGCAAGTCCACACTAGGCCGTCAGCAGGTTGCTGGAGTTGCTATAGGCAGTGTCTGCAAATACAACATCATCCTCGGTCATCACAAAAACCAGATGTCCACAGGAACTCGGCTCGCCACAGTTTTGAGAAAAAGCAAAACTGAGGATTTATCTCAGCAAGCACAGTTAGCCATTGCCAAGAAATTCAAAATTCAAGGTGAAGCTGTCTCAAACACTCAGGAAAACATACAGATTTCAACTGTACAAGAGGAAAAGGTTGACTGAACAGATAGATGTTAAGGACACAGACTTAGTATGTCACAGGGCTGGCGAGATAGCTCAGCAGACTGAAGCACCTGCTTGGCAAGTGCAGGGACCAAGCATTAAATCCCTGGTCCCACAGGCCACGTCTGCTCCGCCCCCGGGGGCACACTGAGCTACAATGGCACAAGCCTGTAATCCCAGCACTAGGGAGGCTGAAAACAGGAGAATCACTAGAAATCCAAGCTGTGTAGTAAGACCCTGCACCAAATACATGAATGAAAAAAAAAAAAATTGGTATTTCACAAACAAGCGTGTCCTGGGCAAGTGGTCCAAGCCCTGAAGAACAAGAGTCATGACACTGTAAATGTTATTGAATTAACAATGTCATGGTCCGAAAGCAGGAGTGTGTGTGTGTGTGTGTGTGTGTTTCAAAAGGGTAACTGCAGCTCATTTTGAAATTTGTCCTGTTTCCATGACTAGTAAACTTATGACTTATTGGATAGAAAAAAGACAGTAACAGAACTGGGATACAGTTCTAAAACAAAAGGGCCTTCCTTCTGAATGAAAAGCAGTGACCCTTCACAGACATTTCCATGCAGCCTGTATCAAGGTCCTTGCCTATAATAATTCATAACATGGACTCTGGCATCACTTGTCCTTCAAGCATCTAAGGACATTAAGAGTTCTCACCGCAAAGAAGTGAAATCCAGTGTTCATAGCCCTGTACTTCGTAAGCTGGGCTACGAGTATTTCTACGCTTATGATATGGATGCAGGTTGTATTTTTTTCCTATAGTGGGTATATTCTTCCCTATAATATATAAGTCTATAGCTGTTTAAAGGCAGCTTGGATCCAGCCCTACTTCCCTGTCACAGAGTCTTCTTGTGGCATGTGATTACGGCTCCTTAAGCTGGCAATTCCATCAGAGCCTCTCAGGTCCCAAAAGAATGTCCAAGCCAGCATCTGCAGACTTCCCCATCACAGTAAGTGATGCCACCACCCACCCACCTCCTCACAAGAAGCCAAAGGGCTATACCACACTCTGCCACTCACAAAATCCAGACCACTATCAGCTACCCAAACCCCTTTGACCACCTCCCCTCTGGATTTCCTGCCTCCGTTTTTACCTACTGCCCATCCTCTGTACATTAGATAAGAAGGTCTTTTACAATTATTGCTTAGGGCCAGAGATACAGCTCAGTGGTACAAGTGCCTGCTTGGCAAGCACAAGGTCCCAAGTTGAATCCCAGTACAGGGGGTGGGGGGATGAGCTCAAGTATTACTTAATTCATCTACATCACACCATGTGGTGAGAAGTGCACAAAACCTTGCGTAAGATGTCCCCCCACCCTCCAATATAGACACAACCCCTGCTCTGTTCATGCAGCTCCCACCCTGTCCCTGCCACTGTTCTCCAAAGAACATACCAGCTTTCTGTGACATAGGGACACAGGAGGCCCATCCTCTAAATGGTGCCTTTATTTTTCCCTCCCTGATCCGCATACAGCTCTCTTCTTTTGGACAGATCCTTACCAGCTTCTCAGAGAAGCTTTCCTTGACCACCTAGTCTAAACACTCAGACAATTTGCATAACATCTTACAGTTACCAGAACAGTTTCCTTATTTGCCACTCCTCTACCTACCACAAGAATGCAAGCTCCTTGAGACAACTCCACTGTCCCAGAATGTGTACTCCGGATTAATAGGCGGCATTCACTGAATGCTTTTTCGTTAAAGGTACAAGCACTTGGTACGGCACACAGAGAAGGTGGCAATGGCACTGAGGAGATACGTGGTAGAGCTGTGCACTCCCAGTAGCTCCAAGTCACTACAGTATAGGTTTCTATGTAAAAACGGAAGTTGCTATATCATTCATTTGTGATCCATTGTTTTTAGTTGCTGAGTACCTGGCCTTTTAATTACTTTCATCTGTCAAAACTAGTGAAATCAATTACCAACTGATGTATCTTAATTTACTGAGCTAAGGTAACTTATTTATGAATTCTCAGGTTTAATATTAAGGAAGCCATGAATTGCATGGAACATTTTGCACATAACTGAGATCATTTCAGATGCTAAGTGGTCATTCTACCTGTTATACTCACCCTGCACACAAAGCAAACAAATCCATGGTAACAGATATAACTCTAACCACAGTCCCAAAAGGAAAATATTAATACTTACATATCAAAGGCATCTAAAATTTCATACCTGCCAGTAGTATTGCACAAAGGTGGTTTCACTGCCATCTGATTTTTTAAATATATCATTAGGACTCCGATCCCAATTAATAGCATCCACCCTGTAGGTTCTGTTATTGTATCTGTGGTATAATTGCAATGTAAAGATTTCTGACTTATTTATTACAAACAAAGCACAAAATAAAATTTAAATCCTATTAGCCTATTAGGATATAATTTACATACTATACAACTCACCCATGTAAGTGAATAATGGTTTTTAATTATATCCACAGAGTTTGGCATTCAACAGTCTTAGTACATTTTTGTCTCTTAAGGAAAAACACCATAACTACAGTGATCACTCATTTCCACTCAAGCTGCCCAGCCCTGATGTAATCACTAATCAAATTTCTCAGTCTACATATTTGCCTAGACCTTTCTTATAAATTGAATCATACAACACATGATCTAGGATATTCTTTGATTTAACACAGTATTCTTATGACTAATTTATGCTCTAGCAAGTGTTGGTACTTTTTTAAATTTTTATTTATTTATGTGTGTGTGTGTGTGTGTGTGTGTGTGGCCAGCTCAGCCCACCAGGGGGCGGGGCTGGCTGACACGTGGTGCTGGGGGATTGAACCGCGGTCCCTGCGCTTTGCTGAGCTTGTTCTAAGTAGGTGCTTTAGACCACTGAGCCATCTCACCAGCCCGCAAGTGTTGGTACTTAATTTCTTTTGTTTCTATATAATATTTTGTTGTATGGATATACTATATTTTGTTTACCAATTGCAAGACATTATTAGGGTTGTTTACATTTTGGCTTATTATGAGTCATGTTAGAACATTCATATGCCAATGTGAGTAGACAGTTTTCATTTCCCTCTCGGATATATCCCAGGGAATGGAATGTCTGCATCAAAATATTGTTTTCCAAAGAAACTATATTTTACATTCCAAACGGTAGTATTAAGGGTTGGTTCCAATTTTCTCACATCCTCCAACTTGTATATATCTCTATTTTAACCATCTTAAAGGATGTGAAGTGGTACCTTCTTTTGGTTTTTCATTTGCATTTCCCTGATGGCTAAGAATGAATCCCTTTAAATGTTCTTACAGCCATTAGTACTTCCTTTTGAGAAGGGTCTATGGAGTTGGTCTATTCAGATCCTTTGCCCATTTTAAAAAATTGGATGCTTTTAATTATTGAGTTGTATTCTTTTAATATTCTAGATATAAACTTCTTACCAGACATGTGACTTGTAAGAATTTTCTCCTTGTCTGTCAGTTGTCCTTACTTTGACAGTGTAACTTAGAGCAGAAGTATTAATTTAATCAAATCAAATATACCTATTTTTTCTTCTGTCATCATCTATGCTTTTTTGGGTCCAACCTAAGAAGATTCTGTATAACCCAAAAGTCAAGTATAGATAGATAGACGGACAGACAGAGACAGATAGACAGAGACAGACAGAGGCTTGAACTCAGGACCTTGCACTTGCCAGGTAAGCACTTATTCTACTAAGCCATCTCCCTAGCATGTTTTTTGTTGTTGTTTTTTTTTTTTTTACACCTATATTGTCTAAGAAAATTGTGCCTGGTATGGTGGTACACACCTGTAATCCTAGCACTTGGGAGGCTGAAGCAGAAGGATAGCTGCAAGTTCAAGGCCAGGTTGAGCTACACAGTGAGACCTTGCCTCAACACAACCAAAAAGAAATAAAAAGGGAAAAAAATCTCTTGCATATAGGTCTATTTTAAGTTAGTTCTTGAGTTAAATTTAGAAGTTTGTGTATTCTGTCAAGAGAGGGCAGGTGGGTATCCATTATTCTGGTAACATTACTGAAAAACGATTTTTTCTTCTACTGAGTTGTCTTGACACCCTGTCAAAAAATATCAAATGGCGATCAAACATGGCAGTGCATTTAAGATACTCAGAATAGTCACCAAAAAATACAGGTACTTTGAGGTGGGGGGAGACAGTCACACCCAGAAGGGAAAAAAAAAAGCAATCTGAAAGACATTCATCTAGATGAAACCATATTCCGAATTGTTAACGGGGAGGTGGCACTGCTGCTGGGAGGCACCAGCTCACTATCCCATACTTTCTAGGGAACGTGCCATTCTGAGCATGGCTCTAACAGTATAAGGGAAAGAGCCAGCACTAGAGGGCCAGAGACCTGGGAAGGCCTCTCCAGTTCCCTCCTGTCCCATCTGGAAGAAGAAACCCACAGCAGTAGTAAGTTGTGGTTGGGCCCCCAGAACAATAATAAAAGAGAAATGGGTGGTCCCTCCTCCCCATCACCCTAACACCAGAATCCACTGACCACCATTAGCAAAGAAAACACCCAACTGTAGGCCAAGACTGAGCAGCACAGAGACCAATGGGTCACATCCTAAAGACACAGGGAAGGGAGAGAGAGCAGTCAGTTGAGAGTGGGTGCTTCCCTGTTGTTTCTATGAAGACTGGGAAGAGGTGTGTCAGTTAGAAATCCTCAACACTGTCTACTATCATACACAGTGGAAAAGAGTGCCTAAACCAAGCTCCCACATCCTGAAAAAGGGAGCTTCTGAGATAGGGACGGTTTGGGATCTGAGCACAAAGGAAAAGAGAAGATTGGCTGGGGCAGAGAACCTCTGGTGTCAAACTCGGCAGCAATGATGCCAAACCTTTTAGAGACAGTGAACAAACTGCAATCCAAAACCTTACTTATAACAAAGGCCCACAACTGCAACTAAACCTGAAAATCCAGGTTTTCGTTTAGATACAACTCACACATCAACATCTTTTGTCTAAAAAAAAAAAAAAAAAAAAAAAAAAAACCACAAGAACATGCAGCCACAGGCCACCACTACCCTGTAAGGACAATAAAGAAAATATGCCAGCAGCAAGGGAAGCAGGAGTGCTAGCAACACCAGCAGAAGGCGAAGCAGAGCTCCAGGTCACACCAACTATTTCACATCCTCCTCTTCCCAAATTCACTGAGGTGATTGGACCTTGTGGCAAAGGCAAAAGGCTACTGTTAACCAAGACCAAGGCACAGCTCACAGCATGAGGGTGGGCATAAAGAAACTGACACCCTTCACCATTCCAGGAAGGCAGGTAAGCCCCCTGTAGGTGAGGGAAATAGCCCAGCTGCCTGCAAAAGGTCAATGGTTGGAGCAGGAAGTGTGTGTGGACACCTGGACTGTGTGGTACAGCAGCCACATGGAGACTGTTTGCATGTTTTCTTACTAGAGTGTCTGTTTTCCTCATTGGTTTTCATTAATTCTTGCTTTGTTAATAGTATTGTTTTTTACTTGTTTTTTCTACTTTTTATATTTTTCTGTCCATGTTTTTTCCCTTTATTCTGCTCTCTTTCCCTTTGGTCTTTTCTCTCCTCATTCTATTCTTTTCACTCGTCCTTGTTTTACCTCTATCCCTCTTCTCCCTCACTTCTTCTCCACCTTACACATGTTTAGCAGGCACCTGTATTTTTTTAAAAAACCAAGCAGAACAGTGATTCAATTTCAGTGTTGCCATTCAGAGTTATGTTGGGGTAACCCTAACAGAATTGTGCTTTGAGGATTCAAACAAAATGAACCACAAATAAGTATCAAAAGGTTCTGACAACCTCACAGATTTCCTCAATCCTTAATTACCCCTCTCCACTTGCACTGCTTCCCCCACATCCACAAATATTCGAAGATGATTCAATACTAACTCTACTCCAACTATAAAACACCTCCAAGAGTCTAACCTCCATCTATCTTTTACCTATTAATATTTCTCCTATCTGCCTCTCCTTGTATTGACTTATCCCTTTTGTTTTTCCTTCTTTCCCCTTTCCTGCTCCCTCAGTATCACAGACTAAATGCAAGGAGCACCGGATAGAAGGTGAAAGTGTGAAAACAGGGTCTAACACACATGACTAATGTATGGCCAGACTGGTGATGTTATAAGCAGTAAAAATTCTCTCCATACTACACAGTGACAGGGTCTAACCCAATTAAACTGAACATGTTGAGGGGGTGAGCAATATCTATAGACAAACAAAAGCAAGAACACTTCAGGGGAAAAAAAAAAACCTCATAAATTCTCTTCACTCCATTTGACTTCAGCCCTCAACATCAAAAAACAAAAGATGAACATGAACCTGAAAAGCAAGACAACAGTATGCCCCCAAAGACTCCTAGCTCCCAAAGCAGATCCAAGGGGCACCAAGCAGAGGAAATCAAGCATTGGATAGACACGCTATGTGGAATTATTAAAAAGGAAGTAAAGAACCTCTGTTCAAAGGGGATATAATCCAAAGATAGTGGGACTAACAAACTGACCAATGTGGGTATGGGGAAAAAAAACTAAAAGACAGTTCAAAACATGAATGAGAAGCAGAGATATAGACTCTACAAAAAGGTACCAAATAGAACCATCTCTGGGTTTTCTATCAAATTCATAAACAGCAGAAACGACTAATGTAAAGACAGTGTTTCAGAAATTGAAGACCAAATTGCAAAGTCATGATTATTTACTCAGACAAGATTTAAAAGCAATAAGAACAAGAAAAATCCATCCAACAGCTATTAGATGACAGTAAAAGGACTAACATAAGGCTAGAGTTAGAAATTAGAAGACAGCACACATGGAACTAAAAATTCAGTGAACAGCTGGGCAAGGTGGTGTATACGTGTAATCCCAGCACTCAGGAAGCAAAGTAGAAGTATCACAGCAAGTTCAAGGCAAACCCTGGCTACATCGTGAGTTCTAGGTCACCCGGAACTACATAGCAAAATCTTACCCCAATAAACAAAAAACTATTTACAGAAATCATAGCAGAAAACTTTCTAAATATGGTAAGTGATCAATATACAGGTAAGGGAAATTTACTGAACACAAAATAACTGCAGTGAATAAAGCTCCCAGCCAGGTGTTACATGCTTGTATCTCATAACTCAGGAGGCTGTAGCAGAAGGATCACTAGGAGTTCAAGTCCAGTACTATAGTACACAGACACCAAACTACACTCCACAAAATATTCAAGAATATCTCAGAGATAGTGAAGCCAACAAAGGTAAAAAGTCAGATGGAATGAATATATAAGGCAAGATAAATAGTAGTTAAAGAAGGAAAAATAAAAGGAGTCAACAGAAAATGAACACAGTGACAGAAGTCATTAGCTTTCAGTCATAACTCTCAATGTAATTAGCTTCAACTCCCCACACAGATTGGCAAACGAAAGAAAAAACAAAACAACAACAACAACAAAATCCAGAATCCAACAGTCGGTTGCATAAGCCAGGTATGGTGGTTCACTCCTATAATCCCAGAACTCAAGGCTGAGGTAGAATGACCACAGCAAGTTCAGGGCCAACTTGGGCTATATAGCAAGTTGAAGACTAGCCTGAACTGCCCAGTGATACTCTGTCTCAATCAATCAATCAATCAATCAATCAGATACAGTCTATTGCATTAAAGGAACTTTTCTGACCCAAAAAGACTACAATATCAAAGGATGAAAAACTATATTCCATGTACTAGGACTTCAAAATTCAAACACGATAGCAATTTTCTTCTCAGACAAAATAACGTTCTAGCTAAAACTGGTAAGAGACAATGAAGGTTATATAGATCAGATAAGGGTACAATTCAACAGGAATAGATAACAATTACAAATATATCTGTACCAAATACTAGGGCACCTAACTTCATAAAATAGACACTGATGGACATAAAAGATCACATATACTGCAAAACAATTATAGTGGGAGATCACAAATAGATCAACTTAAATTAACCAAGCAATATCAAAGCTGAATCACACCTTCAAAGAAGTAGATTTAATAGATATCTACAGAGTGTTCTACCCTACAACAGAACACACATTCTACAACAGAACGTAGAACTTTCTCCAAAATAAACCATATACTAGTTCCATTAATCCTGTTTAAATAAGTACAAAAGAATCAAAATCACTCCACGTATACCATCGGATCACTGCACATTGAAACTACAAATCAATGACAACCACAGAAATTCCTTGATAGGAAGAGTACTTTCAAACTCATTCCAGGAAGACAGCATCATTCTGATTCCAAAACCAGGCAAGGCTCCATCCAAAAGAAAAGAGCTACAAGCCAACCTCACTGATCAGCATAGATGGAAAAATAATCCTCAACAATTGCAAGGGTTTTTGTTTTCTTGATGCTATTGAGAGTGGCATTTTCCTAATTTCTTAGTGAGTACATCATTGATGTTTAATAAAGCTGTTGATTTTGTAATTCTAAGAATCATGTGATCTGCAAACACTACTTTGTCTTTTTCTTTCATAACCATATGCCTTTTCTTTCTTTCTCCTGTCTGATTGCTCTGGATAATGTTTCACATACTATACTAAACAGTAGTGGTCATAGTGTACATGTTTGTCTTGATTCTGATTTTTTTTTTTTTTTTTTGTCTGAAACCCATCACTTTAATGACTTCTTCACCCATGCTGACTTCTCCCCTCAGAATTCCTTTGAAAAGCCAGGACTTTGTATGCCTCAAACCAACTCCCAAATCCCATCTTTACTTGCTTTTCATCTTTGCGAGCTTCAGGGTTCCCAGCCTAGAAGACAGAACACTGGAGGGAAAGTGAAGTGTTGACGGGAGAAAAGTGATGATGACACACTCCATGGTTCCTTTCTGCGTTTCTTCTCAGACCAATTCAAAACCTCCAAAATAAGGTCAAGTAACACTTGTACTTGCACAAGCTCTTTAGAAAGACTTCCTGGATCTCCGACACCAGCCAGGTGTCCCCACCATGGGGAAGGGTAGAGAGGACACCCAGCTTCATTCCAATGGTGATGAACAGCCCTATGGTATGAACTGGCTATGGGCAGCCCAGCGCTACCGCAGAGGGGACAGGCCAGACTCATAGCCCTCTGTCCTCATGTCATTAAGCCCCAGCTCCTCATTCTGGTCAAAGGTGCGCTTGTAATGCTCCACCTTCATCTCTGGGTCGTCATCTGGTATGTAGATGTTCTGCAAGTAACTGTTTCCTGCTGGGTCATTCATAATGAAATGGGCCTTGATGTGACCCTCGATGATCTGGTCCAACTTCTGACTAAATTCCTGCAATTTCTCCGACTGGCCAGGACTGGAACTGTCACCCAGTGTGAAAGGGTTCTTGGTCACCAGTTCTCGGATATCTTTCAGCAGCCCTTCTAGGGTAGTAAACTTGCCTCCGAGGACAGCCATTCCTAGCTCAAACTCCAGCTCTGGGATTTCCACACTGCATGTTTCTGACTTGAGGATGTCTCTGGCCATGTCAGAAGGATCTGTGATGTGGAGTGTGATCTTGGTACCCAAGGGCTCTACCGCTCCTCCAGATTTCACCTCATTGGTCCGATGACCACAGTTCTCACAGATGGTGGCCATGATAATAACCTCCTTAAAGTGGGGGATTTGTACAAGCTTCATGTTCGTCTGAGCTGGGGCATTGCACTCCGGGCAGTTAGTATTGAACTGGAGCACCTCATTTCTGAGATCTTCTTCTTCCAGCTTTTCCTCTTGTCCTTCAGCCTGGAGCCCTAGCATCTTATCCTGCTGCACGGTCTGGCTGTAGTGTGTGATCACCAGGGAATCATCTTTCTGGGGAGCATGTGGGTTTTCTACAAAGCTATTCCCCGAGGGATCATCGATGATCAGGGTGAAAGGGGAGGCTACTTGCTTTAGCTCCTTCAGTTTGACAATGAACTCATCAATTCTTTCGGAGATGGCTTCTTCACTCGCCTTTTGTGTGGGCTGGTCCTGCTCCAGGCCAGAGATGGCACGGTTGATCAATCCTTCAATGGTCGTCAAAGCTCCCTTCTGGCTGAAAGCTGGAATTTCAAAGTCCAGCTCAGGTATCCTTGTGGTGGCAGAATCAGTCTTCACCACTTCTCTGTTCATGTCCTCCAGACCACGGACAGTCAACGTGTAGCACACTCCCTGATCCTGGATCCTGCCTGCCGACTGGATCTCCGTGTTGTTCCAGCCACAGTGCTCGCAGGAG